TAACTTATTACTACTCTTTTAAAATTACCAAATTATTAATTCAACATTCAACACAATTTGCATTTCTTCTATATTTACAATAATTCAAACCAATTACAAAAATACTATTAACTTAAAATGCAAAACACAAAAAAAACAACAACACTTTGAGCTCAACATTAACAATTAAGAAATCTAAGCACTTCAAAATATTTATATAGAGCTATACAAACCAGTTTTCTAATCCTTACATTCCTTTTTAATACCTTCATCAGAAATTCTCTTAGTACAAAACACAATATCTAATTCTATTTACCAAAACCAACTCATCGATCTTTATAAAAAATTTCTATCTCTAGAACCAACTAATTTAAACTTTTATACAGATGTCTCTATACTCAACTCACAAACAAATAACATCTTAACAGGCATCACTTGGATTCTTGAAAAGGATACACAAATCAAATTTAATGCTTCTATAACACATACACCAAACTCAACAGAAGCTGAATTAGCAGCAGTTTTTTTTTTATTTTTTATTCTACCTACTAATTATCAAATTTATATTCATCTAAACAGCTTATTTACTATTTAAACACTCTTAAATATATTACTCTATTACTACAATTCACAAACCAAACAAAATAATTAGGATATTATACATATGCTTAATTATTTAATAAAACTCAAAAACATCAATTACACTATACACAAAGTTAAATCACATTCAAAAAATACTTTACACAATATAACTAATTCTTTAACCAAACAAGACATCAATAAAACTAAATTAAAATTCAATTTTGACCACTTCTATCTACCCATCTACTTTTCTTAAAAAGAAATTCCAATCATATACAAATTATGTAAATTCTGCAAGAACCTAATCTCAATCCAAACATTTAATAAACTTCTTTAACTCAAACCATTATAAAACCTTCCAACTATAAATATTCTATTATTAACTAAAATTATTAACTCCCAAAACTCCAATCTTAAATTATATTCTATTAAAAACAAAATACTTCTCAATAATCTACCAACAATGTTAAATCTAAATATCTGCTATTCTCTCTTTTATCTAACTTCAAATTACTCATATTGTAATTAATATAAAAGCATCGAATATTTATTTCAATGCTTACTTCATTTCTACAATCTACAAAACATTCTCACTAATAAAATTTCAAATACTTTAAATCTTTTAAATATTACAGAATCTTCACTAAATAAAATAATACAAATTCTTACTACATATAACACTTCTCTTAATCTTAATATATATAATACAATATTATTACTCATTCAGAATACAATAACTCTTAACCAATATAACCAACTTCAATCTATTCTAAAAAAACTAACTAACAATTTTCTTACTTCTTTATCTAACTTATTACTTACTTGGTTTAACTCTTCTATCTGGCAAACCCAAAATACTAAACAATATAAATAAAAATTATTATAAGAAATTATATCCTTTACTAAAAAGAAAAACAATATCAGATTACCTACTCTACAACTTACAAACTCTAATAATATTACTTTTATTTTCAATACCGAAATTGATCTCTTTATTTCTAAAACACTTACTCAAAACTTTACTATATATATCTGTTTTTACTAATTAAATAATTTTAAAAGTCTCTTTTACTTTCTCTATAGTTAAGTTTATATAAATTAACTCAACTAATAACAGAAAACTAAAAGATAATATCACACTAGATATTATAGTATATAACAATAATAATGTAGCTTAGGAATAATATTTTAGTTATACATCTATATCCAATTAATATATAAATGTATCTTTATTTTCCTACTTGATATTATATAAATAAAAAAAAAAAATTTATATATTTCTTTTAATTTGTAATTATTTCAAAATTTTTGAATTTCTTTAACTATATTTTTTAAAAAAACAAATTTAATATAAAATATAAAATTCGAACAGTTATACAGTATATTTTATTTAATTAAAAAAAAATTATAAGATTTTATAATTTTTAATTAATTTGATTAAATCAAACCAAAGATTATTTTCATGCTTACAATGTTATGAAAATTTTTTTAAATATATTTCAAGTTTGTGTTTAGACATATTTCTCTTTAATATATTTTGCTTTATATTAAACTAATTTCTTTTGATTATGTTTGTATAAATTCTTTTTAAAATTAAATTTTTATTTAGTTTTTTATAACTTACTCTTTGATGCTTAAAACCAAGTTTCTTTAGTCCTGTATATGCTTTCAAGAATCAGTAAAAATAGTTAAATTAGGTTTTATATGAGTTTTAATTAATTTTTATAATATATTTTTATTACAATCTTTAACTATTTTAAAAAAACATTTTTTTAATCTTATTCGTTTAACAAATTCTAAAATCTAGTAATTTTTATGTAATTTGAATTTAGATTCATTAATCTCAATAATAATATTATCTTTATCTATTTTAGTATCTTTATTTATCAAGATTTTTATAATTATGTTTCTATTATTTTTATAAATCTAATTATTGTTAAAGAATCATGTCTGGTAAATTTTCTAATTGTTGTATATTTTGATTTGATTAACTAAAAATATCCAATTAATAAAATCTTATTGTTTTTTAATTTATATTTATAAAAAATAATGTTTTTTAAAATTTAAGTTGCTTGTTTAATACAATTTGCATATTTAAAATTTTTTCAAGTTGAAATAAAGTATAATATTTTATAACTACAGTATAAACATTCTGTTAAATTTTTTAAACTCCTTTATTTAAAAAAAAATTTTACACATTTTTTTTATTAAGTAAAATATTGTTCAATTCATAAAAACTAGAAATTTTTATTTTTTTACTTAAAAATATGTGTTTTTTACTGAGATTTCTCTTCAAATTATAATTTTCTTAAATTCTTGTATTTTATTAATTTGTATAATATTTTTTATTAGTTTTATTTTTATTTTATTATATAGAATTTTTTTTTATATAATATAATTATGGGAAAATAAAAGTTATTTATATTTTTATTATTACATTGTATTGTATAGATATATGTCAATAGTGTTACATGTACCTAATTGCTTTATTTTTATTTCTTCATCCTTGAATTATTATGTTTAAACTGCAACTCCTAGCATTATAGTTTTCTTGTAACTAATACAGTCAGAACTCTCTAAGTGCACGTTCTTGAGACTGCATTTTAGCAACATGCATTTAGAGAATAATAAGAAAAATGTAATCAGGTATATATTTGGATCAGAATCTGACTGTGCATTTAGAAAAGGTTTGCACTTATAAAATGTGCACTTAGAAAAATCTGACTACTAAAATTCTCAATTATCAATATAAATAATATCTTATTGTGCTATAATTTCTCACATCTTTTTTTTTAAAAAACCCAATTTATTAGTAAATATCAATGCGAAAAATTCGTCTTATGCAACATACAAGTATTCTTGATATAAAGAACCTTCGATATAAGAAAAAAAAAAGCTAATACAAGAAAATTTATATGTTTCCTTTAAAAATTTTTGATACATATAAGAAATTTTGAAATCTCGGTATAAAAAGATTTTGGTTGGGCCTGAAACTTCCTTTAGCTATAGCAAAGTTCTTCAAAAAAGAAAAACTAATTTCAAATAATAAATAAAAGAGTAAAAATTAGATAACTTCTCTTAATTACGTTATGTAACAAAACGGAATATGCTGCAGCTATTTCGTAGATCATCACCCGAACTTCGAGGGTGCTCCTGGCTGATTCCAAATTTATATGTACGTACTAGTGTTGGCAAGTGAAACTATTTTGACAAATGGTGAAAGACGAAACTAAACCCGGCGAAAGACGAAACGGCGAAACTCTGGCGAAACGGCAAAACTCTGGCGAAACTCCTGCTAAAGTTGAACCCCTAGGGAAAGTCAAAACTTGATGAAGATCAAATCCTCTAAGACTCCTGAAAAGACTGAACCGTCTATTTTTATAATATTATTACGTAGTAAAAATTTAAATAAGTTTGAAATTTTAGTTATTTTTTATTAAATTCGTATAACGATGATCGACAAAATTAGCCAATCAAATTGATGCGTGATAAATAAGAGTATCGCGCTATGCTATATATATATAAATAAAAATATTGATGATTATATAAAAAAACTTAATTTTCTTCAATTACCTTTCTATTCTTGCTAGTTTACCATTTTTTACTAATTTTACTACCTTTTTTCAATTTTGCTACCTATTAGCAGTTTCGCCATTTTGATTTTTTTTTTTGGCGAAAGTCGAAACTAGTTTCGACTTTCGTCTGTGGCGAAACTCTTAGGTTTCGCCTGCCAGCACTAGTACGTACGTAGTAATTTTTTAGACAAATTGAATAAGATACAAATTAATATAATTATTACAAGTCAAATTAGTATAAAAGAATAATTAAATACGTACGTAGAAACTTGGTATGTACGTACTAAATTTGGGATTATGTAAATTACGTATCTGTAACTAACATTTGGGGTAACGAATCAAATTACAACTTGCCAAATTTTTTTTTTAAATTGTATCTCTTCGAAGAATAATGAATGTAATTTTGTAGGCTTATCTCTATAAAGTTACATTTTCATTTTTGCGAATTTCCAAATATTCATTGAGGTGGATGTCTTTAGATGAGTTTCATCATATCTTATTGATAATTTTGACTGGTATTTTTGTATGTACGAAATAATTTGATTGGAATTCCAGATACAGAGAAGTAGGGGCCTGCAAATTGCCTATTTTTGAGGCCCGGCCCGGCCGGGCTGCGGGACCCAATGCAGGCCTCTACAGAGAAGTCTAACAACTAACGACATTTTAATACTTTTGCGAATTTTAAGAATTGATTTATTTATATTGATAAAAAAAAAAATCTATACAATGCTTATTTACAATATTTGATACGCATCAAAATAACATACGTACAGTACAATATATGATAAAGTTTATAGTTGTAGAAATATTTATAAAGTATCGATATTAAAGAATAATATCAAAAATTTTTTTTGCTTATTCGAGTTACATATAATAAGTAATGTTTGAATTTTGAGCTACGTGATGTTTAGTAGCAGGATTCCGAGAAGCTTTTTCATTGTTAACAACTTCGTCAGCAAAATGAACACGAATCTTTTCATTGCGTCGAGAACCCGAAATTAAACAACCGCGTCGAGGAAGATCAGATTTAGTTATTTTATTTGATTTGCTTCTTAAGTTAGTTTTAGGACCGTCATCTGTTATTATCTTTGTACCCTATAACATTGATAAATATTGATAAATATTAAAGGGAAAAATAATTACGTATATAAATAAAACATTAATAGTAATATGATATACCTGTTTGTTTCCACCAAGAAATGTAATTAATTCATCACGATTCGTCAATGCGAGATATTGTAAATAAAACTCAAGATGAAACCGTCTATATTCGATAAAGTCAAGATTGAATCTTCCTAATAATGAACAGAAATTTCACGTGAAATTTATTGGTTATATATATTTATGTACAGTATATATATAATTATTATGTTTACGTAATTATACCATATCGCTTCTTTGGGGTAAGCGGTGGAATAGCAGAATTTCCATATTTGTGCACAAGCCTTTTATGCAGCTTGTAAAAATCACTATATCTTCTATTGATGAATAATTTTCCGACTTGGCCATGCACCCAATACTTTTAATGATAGCAATTACATCATTTTTAGAACAATTAATAATGATAATGGAAAAATTATGACATAATGATCATAATGGTCATAATGATGAAAATACTCACACGACATACTATTTGGTAAGAGACATATTTGTCAAAACCAAGCAAAGAATCAACTAAGGTCCAACCAGGAATCGAGACCTAGGGAAAACAAATTTAGTGAATTATTAAACATAAAAAGAGGAATTATTATATCAAAATATACCTTGCACTTAAAATCGAGCAATAAAGGGTCTGTAAGTAGAAACAATTAATGACTTAAAAAGATTATTAGGTATGTAAAGTAAAAATAAAAAACCACTTGAATAACGACATAAACATACTATAATGAGTACGCTTTCGGTCATCAAAGATGAATGTAGAATAGCTGCCACCACCAAAAGATAAGTTTTGTATTTTGCATAAAGAAGACATACTATGATTTAATAATATTTAAAAGTGAGCTAAGATGAGTCAGAATAGATAAACGATATTTTATAATATAATTAGATTATTCTTATTGAAGCACGAGAAAGAGAGTAAGATGATGCTCGGAAAGATTTCGTGCAAAAAGAAGAGAAAAAAAATTATAAACCCGAAAAATATTAAATAAGAGATGATTTATAGTTATTTGAATGCGCCACTTAATATTAAATGCAAGCCACAACGTACATATTTTTTTTATACCAGTGTTTTTTCCTGTTAGTTTTCTAAAATATATTAATGAAGAATGAAAAATATTTTAGTCACGTAATGCATACGCATATGGCTTTATTTGTCCTGATTACTCTTGATTACTTCATCATTAATTTTTGATCAACGATGAAGTCCTTGTTACAACCGGTTTATCGTTACTTTAGTTCAGAGTGATCACACAATGACAGATCGTCTTTGAAAACATATGTTAGTATTTCAAATTTCTACGTTATTAATCGAATTATTAATTCTTTCCAATTTGCTTCTTGAACATGATGCATTATGTATCTATAATAATCTATGATAATGTTATTGTTCTTCCGTAATGAGCTTAATTGTAATTTACAATGACTAAATAACGTCGATGTGGAATTATAAATTATAACACATATTTGTGTACATACGTCATAAAGTTTCAACGAATGACAAGTGACATTGTTGTGCATTAATCTTATGAAAGAACTATTAGCACTATTTCAGTGTATGTTCACTGATTGGTTGCTCATTGATGTACGTACATAGTTCATTTAAATTTTAAAGGAAAAGATAGTAGTATATATTTAAATAGAATCTGATGTGATTTTAATTGATAGTACTGTAGTAACAAACTTTCACGGAAATGTCTTAAGGACAAATTATAATATCGTTTATCGTTATCAAATTAATTTTATTTTAAGCATGTCGGCTTCACATTTTTACAAGTCACATGTATTATAAATGTATTATAAATGTATTGTATATGTATTCTATATTAGTTTAATCAAATAATAATAATTCATAAAAATCCATTTTAAACAATTTAATAATTTATTCTGTTTTTGACATCTGATAATCATACAATCTAAGTAAGTTTCTTTCAAGCATTGCTATTGTAACTTTACCGATTGTCGGAACGTAAATGCTGGCCTTTTCTTTAACATTATCTTCAAAATTTTTATATGTTGAAAAATTTATTGCAACTACTCCGTCCCGTAATAAGGATGTTGGAATTTTATATGATGGTGATGGAACACCTGTTATTACAACATCGGATATTGGAATCACATCTTCAAGTTTAAGATTCGTGTCGATAACCTTTATTTAAATAACATTTAGTTATATAAATGTAAATATATAAAATATAAAATAAAGTATGTGTTGTAACAAGAAAAAAAAAGTGATCATTGAAAAGTAAATTTATTGTTAATAGTAAATTTATTGTTAATAATAAATTATTGTTAATAGTAAAGTTATTGTTAATAGTTTATTATTATTAGAAAATTATTTACCTCATGTTTTTTAAGTCTTAATCCAGTACCACGATTAAATTCTTGAACACCATTAATATCAACAGAATAAGCTTTTCCTCCATCATTAGCCAATAATGCAGCAAGAGGGCGTCCAACAATTTCACTTCTATTTACTATGGTGATCACACGACCATGCAAACGATTTCCGTATGCGAGAATTGGATTGTATACACCAACATATTCTAATACCTATGTTATTAATCAAATTATTAATGCTTAAAGTTATTAATAAGATGTTTAGATATTACAAAGTATTTTACACTCTTACTTTGATTATAGCTAAAGGTGTGCAAGGGATGATACATTTTTTGGTTTGTGCCTTGTCAAGAAATCGAATATTGTGATACATGTTATATATATATTTGTGGCATAGCCCTTCGACATCTTTAGATGAATCAACAACATTCTGAAGATATTGATCCTATAAATGAAATAATAAGTTTCTAAATGTTTTTTTTTTTTTGATGCCAATTTTATCCCGAATTAAAAAGAGGTAGCATACTTGACGATCTCCAAAAACTGGGTAATAAACCATTATTCCATTTATATTTTCATCTTCATTAGCTTTCACGATTTCATCTTCTAAGTCCTCTCTATTACATTTCTTCAATTCAAACATCACTCCTGTTTCGGCACAAGTCTTTGCCGTAGCTTCCGCATACTTGAAAGCCGCAGGATCTTGATTAGCAAGAAATCCAACAAGTTTTGGATGAATTCCGCGTGTATTTATTGAATTCTTTATTTCTTCTCTAAAAGGTTTTAACACCAAACGTTGAAGTAAAAAAGAAGGGAAAGGTCGTTTCATCCACCTGTATCATTTATTTTATTTTTTTTTTTGCTCAATGCTTGCCTTTAACTTTTCATAAGAAAGGTGTTGGCATTGCCGCTACGGGATTAATGTTAAACCCGGGGAAAAAAGGAAATTTGAAGAATTTCAATTTACCTATAGCTGGCTGAAATTTCTCCAGCTAATACTGTTCTACATGACATTTCTTATACAGATACTTTATTATTGTCTTGTTTGCTTTTAAGCTTTCGTTTTGGGCTTACGAGATATAATCAAAACTTTATCGTTAAAGAAAAGAACTCGCTTATCAGTCATTGATAATCTTATCGTTATTTAAAAATCATCCAATCAATAACGATAAATCAATTATCCAATCACATTTACGAGATAAATTTAGGATCAGCTTAAAACCTTGTACGTACGTACATACTGTATGTATACTGTATTCTGGTTCTCTCCTCGAACAATATGTTTCACAATTTATTGCAATCGAACGCTTTTTGCCACGCTTCAAAGCGTGGTCACTATCGTTTTTTAAAAGTTTTTATTGTACGATATTTTATTGTTCATATTCTATTGAAACAATTTAAAAAAAAAAGATTCAATGATTTTTTTAAACGTACACTATTATTTTGTTTCAGCGAGGATATGTTTCTGCTCAAATCCAAAAAGAGGTAATTTATTTTATTTTATATAGAATTATTATAAATTGTATATATATATTTTCTTATATATTTTCTTATAAAGTTCTAAATTCTTTTTTTCATCTGAAATAGTACTTGAATAAGCACCTGAAGGATACTGACCCAGAAGTTTTCGATATTATAGAACAAGAGAAAAGGCGACAACGCGAAAGCATCGTTCTTATCCCTTCAGAGGTAATTTATATATATTAGTTTTTTTAGAGCTAATTTCTTTAATACATAATATTAAATGTAATTATCAAATTATTACTTATCAAGAATTTTACATCACGTGCGGTCATGGATGCCCTTGGATCAATTATGCAAAATAAATACTCTGAAGGATATCCTGGAGCAAGGCAATTAACAATAAATTATTGTCATAGCTGATACTAAGATCGACTTATTTTAAGATCGGCTGATGTTGAAATCGGCTGATACTGTGATCGACTGCTATTGAGATTTAAGATCTTTTTATGTAACTCTACTAAACCTATTAAAGTCTGTAATGAGAAAACCTGCAATTAATCATAGTAAATCATTAAGCACAGTTGCAGGTTTTCATTTAATAACACTAAATCCTAAATATTAATCTTACACTAAAAAAGAATACTTTCCCAAAATTATTAAATCATATTAAAACAGGTTCACATCAGCCAACATCAGCCTCAGCTGCAATAATTATTATTTACTTTTTAAGAATTATAACTTGCCAAATTTGTTTAATCTAATATAATAGATATTATGGTGGAAATCAATATATTGATCAAGCTGAATCTTTATGTCAACAAAGAGCTTTAGAAGCATTCGATTTAGATAAGTCTAAGTGGGGTGTAAATGTTCAATCATTGTCTGGTATATGATCTATAAATTTTACTATCAAGAAATTTTTTTTGGTCAATTTATCTACAATAGACTCTGTCTAAATGCATACTAATTAGCATATATGTAAAAAAAATTTTTTGTATTTTTTTTTAATCCTTAACAGATGATATGCAATTAGATAGTATCGATTGTAATATTATGTATATATATTATATGTTTATATTATTATTATTATTTTAGGGGCTCCGGCTAATTTATATGTTTATAATGCAATATTGAAGCCACATGGAAGATTGATGGGTTTAGATTTACCACATGGTGGACAGTATGTATTTTTTTTAAATAATATTTGTATATATATATAATTTTTTTCTTGAAATAAAATTTTACTACTTTCTGACAGAGATTTCTTATTTGAGTTAGTTTGTCTCATGGTTATCAAACAGATACTAAAAAAATATCTGCTGTATCTGAGTATTTTGAGACTATGCCATATAGATTGGATGAAAAAACTGGTATAATAGATTATGATGCTCTTGAAGCCACTGCCAAGTTATTTCGTCCAAAACTTATAATTGCTGGAGCCAGTGCTTACCCAAGGAATTATGACTATGCACGTATGAAAAAAATTACTGATAAAATAAATGCGTATTTGATGGCTGATATTGCTCATATAAGTGGTAAATACACTAGTATTTTATTTATGATTAATGAATAAAATTAATTCTATATTAAACTTTGTTTTATATATATATATATATTTAGGTATGATTTCAGCTGGTGTACTACCTTCACCTTTTGAATTTGCTGATATTGTTACGACCACAACACATAAATCTCTTCGAGGTCCTCGTGGTGCCATGATATTTTATAGAAAAGGTGTTAGAAAAGTTGATAACAAAGGCAAAGGTGAGCATACTATATAAATATTTTTTAATAATTTATAAATTATAACTTATACATACTCATAAATATGTTTGGTAAAGAAATCCTTTATGACCTTGAAAATCCTATTAATCAGTCAGTATTTCCTGGTCATCAGGGAGGTCCGCATAATCACACTATTACTGCTCTTACCGTTGCTTTAAAGCAAGCTAAATCCCCAATTTTCAAAGAATATCAACAACAAGTTGTAAAAAATAGTTTGGCTTTTGCAGAGGCTTTTAAAAAAAGAGGTTATAATTTAGTTTCAGGTGGCACTGACACTCATTTGATACTTATGGATTTGAGATCCAAGGTTGGTCTCACTAAAATAATTTTATTTTTATCATATTTTTTAAACTATTAGTTTGATAATAATATAAAATGAAAAATAGGGCCTTGATGGTGCTCGTGTTGAACGTATTCTTGAATTGGCAAATATTGCCGCAAATAAGAATACAGTTCCTGGTGATAAAAGTGCATTTATTCCAGGAGGACTTCGTGTTGGTACACCAGCTATGACAACACGTGGTTTTAATGAGTCTGATTTTGAACAAGTTGCTGAATTTATTCATCAAGGTGTTCAAATAACTAATGATATTTGCAAGAAAGTTTCTGGTAAGGAAATATGTATACATTATAATAACTGTGAAATGTTTTTATTACAAAAAAAATAATCAATTTTTTTGTTATTAGGAACAAAACTCAAGGACTTTAAGGAATATGTTGGAGAAGATGGTTCTTCAGAACCTGTGATAAATGAGTTAAAACATAAAGTTATTGAATTTGTAAAAACGTTTCCTACTATTGGTTTTGAAGAAAATGAAATGAAATATGCTTAAGATATTAATTATTGTAATCAAGTAAACCGAATTACATACTATTTAGTATTTATTTATAATAAGAATATATACTGTTTAAATTTGATAATAGAGCTTATAGTACGATAAAACCTCCATGAGTGTGCTCTCTATTAGTGACATCCTCTCCAAATGCACACTCAAATTTTAGTATAAATATGCCTCTATAAATGCATTTTTTCTTATTGTTCTCTAAGTGCATATTGATAATGTATGATTCCAGGAGTATGTACTTAGAGGTTTTACTCTATATAGTATATTATAAGATAAAGGGAGGTAATTCTTCGTTTATTTAAATTCTAAATTCAAAGAAAGCAACTTTTTGCTCAACTTTCATTAGAATTATGTAAATTCAAAGGTCGAGAGGTGAAGTGGTGAGTTGACAGATTGATAAAATTAGCTGTTACTGTAACGGCAATAATTATTAGTCTATATATTATAACATTCATCCGCCTTATATCAAAAAGTATTTGTACAATTATATGAAACCGTTAATCAGAATCAAATCTTTTTTACACAATTCGATGCATCCTAACATAGGGTTACTGGCGACATATCAGACTTACCAGGTATGTCTCGCCTATTAAAGTTATTCGGGTTATTATATTCGGTAGAAAGGTTAGAGAAGAGAAATTTATTAGTGAAACGGGGTAAATTAAAACCATAAGACAAATTAGAAAAATGAAATAAAATAGGTTTATTAAATAGGTTCATGCATATGTACAGAACAATATACATAATAAAGTTACATGCTTTACAATAAGACGATCCTATAAATATTACAATAGGTCTTAAACAAATGTTCAATAACTACTCTACAGTGTTAAACTCCTACACTTCCCGACCCGTTATTGAGCTACTAGAGAAAGTCCTTAATCATCAATTTTGTCTTACACACGTGACTTCGAACCCGATACCTGCCTGGTTTAGAACCAAAGTACAGAGGTAAAGTCGTGGTCTTGAAGATTGTCTTACGCAGTAGTACCAGCCATTCAACGTATCGAATTGATCGAAGTATTAGTAAAGTGTTAAGAAAAGAAACAACAAGCTAGAAAAATACTTACGAGCCAGCCCACTTAGCCAAATCTAACCGCCCCTTTCGAATAGGCAGAATATTGGTTCAGGAACGTATTTTATCATATATATTGTTCTAGCCGTTAAACCTGCTTGTTGTCAGTAGTAAATTATATGTAACTTTGAAACCGATAATCTATTATATAACTAAAAAAAAAAAAAAAAAAAAAGTTAATGAATATTAAAATACAGTAATCAAATATTATATTGCTTATTACGCGAAATTCCAAATCCCGACTAGACACTTCCAAAAAGCCAGTAACAGTGCTAACACTTGCCAAAAGGCCAGTAACTGGATCTACTCACTTGCAAAGGCCAGTAAAAGCTTGAAAGCCTACTGTGACACCTTTATTCAAGTCAGCATAAACCTATACATGGGCGCTTAAATTATTTCGGCAATTATCTGACGATTTAATTTTTCTTAGTTATAAATTAATTTTATAATTGCCGAAATCCTTAAATTTTCAAGTTTATTTCAACAATTATCTGATGATATATATTTTTAATAACTAAACTAATTTTATAATTGTTGAAATCATCTAAGCTCCTATAAGTTCTTCATCCTGAAGTTGAATAATCTTGTTGAATATGTTGTTGATATTGTTGAATATTATTGTTGAATATTGTCATTAGAATCATTATATTTTGGCAATTATCTGATGATAATAATTATATTTAGCAACAAAATCTTATAATTGTCAAAATTATCCAAGTCTAACAGAAGACACCCATGCATAAATAGAGCTGCTAATAGCATTACTTAGTTAAACATCCTTATCAAGCTGTGATACTAATAGCTGACTTGACACTTTCTGGAAGCCAGTACAGACAGACAGAAATCCTCATAATAAGTCAAGGTTATTTACTTTAGATAAGACATACTAATACAACATGATAAATCACGAGTGTCTCAGTACAGATCTATTTAGAAAAGAAAGTACATAACTGATTCCTCTTCCAAACCAGTAGACTTTAATAGATGTCTTAAACTAAAGTAAACAACCTTCTGTTCCCGAAGTTGTTCATAAACATAATACTAACCTACTGGTGTGTTTTAACATGAAGTTCTTTAAATCCATACTTGCACAAAAAATATATGTATATTTTCAACTAAAAGGTTTTTTCAAATAAAAGTGATAACTTCATAACTTAAGCAAATTATAAAAATTTAGTATATTCTTTTTTTGATTATTTATGCCAGAAGAACAAAACAAATGATGACACAATGATGTAATTCATGTTACTATAGCATGTAATTTGAAGAATGTTCATATGATTGGTTGATGTAAATCTATTGTTACACCTGAACTACCATATGTGTAGAGGGTCAAAAAATACTGACCTAGGTAGGTCAGGTATTAACCTGGTTTATAATAGGTCAAACAGAAATTCATAAAGTTTTTGATATTAATTCTTAAAGTTAATATAGTGACTCTTAATTAGAGCTGTTAGTATAGAAAACAGCCTGTACTTCAAATACTTAACCTGATTTTGTATTGAAAACTTTTCGATCTTGCTTATGATTTGAGTTCGTTATTTTCTATATTAGAGAATACATGATCCTTTATGAAGCTAACCTGCATAGGTCAAAAGACTTGAGTAAGAGATTTATGAATTATCTATTTTTGTAAAATACAAAAAAATATGATTGGTCAGTATTATAATGTTTATCAATTATCCATTTTTATAAAATACAAAAAAACATGATTGGCCAGTATTACGATGTTTATCAATTATTCATTCTTGTAAAATATGATTGGTCAGTATCAAAGTGTTTATCAATTATCTATTTTTGTAAAAAAAAATACCAAAAAATATAATTGGTCAATATCGTAATATTTATTGATTATCTTTTAAAAAAATTATACATATTATACAACTATTAATTTTTTTCAATTTTGAGCATTATATCTAATATAATAATAATAAATGCCACAGCTGATACTAAAATAGATGTAGTGAACAGAGATTAATTAATTCTAGATAAGTTATTCGAAATTGAGAAACTAATAAAGAATAAAGATATTATCATTATTTTATACATCAATCAGATATTACAGCAACAATAAAATGTATTCTTTAACAAATTTTTTATTAAATTTCTTTGAAATCTTTATTTTAATATTTAATTTGATAATTAAAACTTTCACCAGAATTGATATATTAATTGATATTCATCTACAATACAGTAATTAACACAGTATTAAAAAATTGAATATGTTAAATAATACAAACAACAAAACTAAATTAGTACAAAAAAGAATACTTGTTAGAATAATATGATGTACTTACACTTTTATAAATGAAATAGCAATAGTTCAATTTAGTATAAAGATTCAATAAAAATTATAATTAGTTAAATTATTATTACACATGTTTTCAAGACTATCATTCTTAAAGTATAAAATTCAAATTAATATGCCAAACAATTTATATAACTAGTTTAAATATTTATCTAGCATTTTACACAATGTACTTTTTAACAAACATAACTCAAAGTAATCAGACAACAATTAAAATCACTACATATGATTTAAAGAAATGTGGTGGATCATTGGAGATTTCAAATTTTGATATTTACATAATGAATAATTCTATAAGTTTTCTTCTTGAAATAAAAAATTTAATAGGTTCAAATGAACTCATAGGTAATTTAATAGCATTTTGACATTCTTTTTAATTTAATATTGATGTTTATTAACTTTACTCTTTAGTACAACTATTATTTTTAGTTAATGAAAATGAAAAGCTTTATAAACCATGTTTTGCCAATGGACCAACTGGATCATGCTTCTATGCCAACTCAACATATAATATTTCTATTAGGTCATTGACAGATAATTTTATGGATTCAAAGACATATACAATTTTCAATATTCAGCACAACATTATATTTAATAGCACTTATTCAAATAAGAATTTGAATGAGTTTACAGACAATTTGAGAATTATAAAATTTTCAAAATTTTTAATTTCACAGCCAAGTGGAAATAATGTTTTAGGCTGCATTAGTATATATGTTAATACTCTTGAGCAGAATTCTCTAGGCAGTTTCTTGAATTTATATAATGTTCTATTTATTATTATTGTTGTTTTTACTTTAATTAGCTTTGTTTTAACACAAACTAATGCTATACAAGATATTAGCAAAATTTTTATAAATCATGATAAAGCAGAAAATGGTAACAACACAAATAATAGTACATCTCATAATACTAAGGTATAAATAAAATTTATATTCAAATATTTTTCAAAATTAATTACATGAGAAAAGACATTATCATCACCTAATATTAAGTTAATACAATGAATATACTGTATTGCAATTATAATTTCCTATGATTAATTGCATTTTGTCTGTGCTGATAGCATCCAGAACATGGAATTCTTAGTTCAACAAATAATTCAAGCTTGACTCATCTTGTTCCAACAAGTAACTTAGATCCACTTTACTATAATTCAGCAGGTTGTTCATGCCTAATTCATTATAATCATAATATAATTAATAGAGCTGCTGTCTCCAATCCTATTAACAGAACAACATCTTAATCAATTTCAACTATAACACAAGCACCTTCAATCTTTGATTTGTTTTGTGTTGCACAGTTTTTTATAACTACTGCCTTGGTTTCTCTGTCTAATATTTCATCTGGTTACCAAAATTTGGTTTCAAAACTTAGTTGGTTAAGTAGTTTACTAAGCAACCTTAATTTTATATCAAGTATCTGTGATAAAAATATATGAATAGCTATATGCCATATAACAAATATTTGTAAAACATCTATAGGTATCATATATGTGAATAGCAACATCTGTGGTTTAGATATGTCTTCTGGCTTCTTGAATTTTGGAATGGCCTTGAAGGTTTCTGTTTATAATTTATTTTTGATAGCAATGATTTCTTTTTTCTCTGCACAAGCACTTGTACTTGATACAATGCTATTCATTTAGTTATTTGCTCAATGTTGTAAATTCTAATAGAATGAATAGCCTTTTCTAAAAAAGGTTGCTAACAATTTTTACTTTTTGGCAGTTGGTAAATTATAATTTAACTATTATCTGACAAATAACTAAATTATTGAATTTTAATAATTATTTTTAAATGTTAGATAGAATGTTACATGTTGTAAGTACAATATCAAATTTGTTATTTTAGTATTGGATTGAACATAACTATAAATTTTCTATATTATACCCAGTTGATTCTATTTTACTATCCTCTAACACTTTTTGCTGCTTATCAAATATACAATTACAAGGGTGTAGTGACCTAGTAAAGTGGTTAGGTTGTCAACTCCCAAGTGGCAAGTCCAGAGTTCAAATTCCAGTATTGACAGAAAATTTAAAAATTTTCTCTGTGTTATGGTTAACTGTCTCTTGCAATTGGTTGAGATAAGACATCTGTAATCTATATTGCACCAGCATGACTGGCAGGTCACATGGCATTTGTGTAACATTCACATGACATTGTCCTTTGGGACAAGGTCTATGGTTACATAAAGAAATGCAAACCAGTACCGGGCAGTACAAACCTACAATAAGTCCTTGTGGCCATGTAAATCATAAAAACCAATAGAAAAAAGATAGAAGCTCACTTGGAAGACCCGAGTAGAGAGGTAACCCAAGCTTTTGATGGTGCTACTGTAAAGACTAGACTTATAAAATGGAGCTAAAACTTGTGAAACTGGGCAAATGTGCTGGTCTTTAAGGAGGAACCAGATGAACCAATCAGGCCACCGGAATTTTCAGATTCTGGAAGAAAAGGGTACATGCTGGCAAACATGTAAACCAGAGGTATGGTCTCGTCCTACCTTTCCAGGCTATTTGGAATGGCAGCTTGGTGAAACTTGAATTGAATACCAAAGTAGTAAGGATATATTGTAAAATAAGTACCAGGGTTAGGGTGAACTCTACAAG